ATGGAGTCCTGCAGTGCGGCCATCTGCTCTCTCATAGCCGGCAAGGGACAGACACCGCCAAGACGGAACCCCCAAGCTCAGGTACCACTGCCACGTGCGGTCCGTCACCTGTGCAGGGTGGGAGCCTGGACGCATGTCACGCCTGCACCTCTGCCCACAGCTGCAGGACAGGGATCGCATAAACACGTCCGTCAGGAGGCGGGCTGAGGAGGCCAGCTGTAGTGTATCTACGCAGTGTGTCTACACAGGTAGCTACTTGTTACCCCCTAAGTGTAGGGACACAGAGCCATTGGAGAGTCACGCTGGCGCTGTTGGTAATGGAAAATCATTTGGCAGTTTCTTGAAAAGCTGAATACTGTACGATCAGTTATTCTACTACTAGCTAGTTAACCCAAAGTGGTGAAAACAGAATTCATAAAGACGTGAGTATAAATATTCACACGAGCTGTATTCATTATACCCCTAAAGTGGAAATAAGTCAAGACTAGCAGGCGGATGGATAAACAAAGTGGACCACCTTTGTAGAGAACTTCTCCTCAGCAATAAAAGGGGTGGGCTAGTTATACACACCCCAGTGTCGGTGACTCCCAAGGTCACTACGCCAGGAGTAAGAAGTGGGGCAGGGGCTGGGGATTTAGCTCAGCGGCATAAGCGCCTGCCTTGCAAGCAGGCAGCCATGAGTTCGATCCCCGGTACCGACTGGTCACAGGCCAGGTGTACAGCTTGTGGAGGTAGAATACTTGCTCCCTCCCCAACGTGCCCGTGGGGGTGATCATCATTAAAGAGGAAAAATCCACTCCCAGATAGAAGCCCCTGGCACCCCTCTACCCAGGCTTCAATAAGCCTTTTGCTGTTAAGTCTGCTCCACCATGTAACCTCTTGTCCCTCTCTCTGCTGTGGCTAAAAAGGTGGAATTTAGGGTAACTTTCTGTCCAATCAATTAATGGCCAAGGCTCTGTTTCTGTACCTCCCACGAGGCTGTAAATTCTGTAAAGGTCCTGCTCCCTGAGAGTGGGGGCTGGGCTCTTTAGTGAAGAATCCCAGCCAACCCACCAGCATGATAAAGCCATAACCCTGCCTCCAGCATCCCAGGTGCCACTGAGTGTGCTGGACTCGGTGTGCTGTGACGTTTATGGGGCTGTGAACACCTTCTAGCAGCTGGCAACAGAGATAAGTCTAGACACCTTGGAGCCAGGTGAAAGAGTAAGCAGTGTTGACATTCAGTAAAGGTATTTTCTGCACATGTAGATTTTTGTTGTTTTTTTTTTTTTTTGTAACAGGATCTCAATTCTATAGTATAGGCTGACCTCGAACTTGTAGTGATCCTCTTGCCTCTGCCTCCCAAGTGCTAGGATTACAGGAGTGTGCCACCATGCTCAGCTGAGATAGGGAAAGGTAGCAGCTACAGAGAAGCTGTGGGAAAACAACGCCCCATGCAGAGCAGAGTCAAGGTGGCCTTTCTCCCCAGTTCCAGAAGCCAGGGGTGTGCTCAGGGCCAACCCCACAGCCACAGTGAACTGCAAAAACACCTCTGGGTTTTGCTCCCTCCCCAAGGCACGCAACACACAGGGCCAAACATCACAGTGCCACAGAGGGTTTAGGCACCATTTCAGGAAGCGGCTGTTTAATTGGGGTGACAGGTCCAGCCCCTATAAGCTGCCAGCCCCCAGAGATCCCTGAGCTGCTTAAGCTCCCCAAACACCCCTCCCACATCTTGTTCCCTACTCTGTTAGGTCATGGTGCACTTGTGCCAAAAGCTTCAGCCACTGCCATGTCAACTACTGCCACCCAGGCTGGCTACTCAGCTGGAGCCAATCCCACACCATTCTGCCCAGCCTCAACCCATTACCCAAAGCCCTGCTCAATAAGGTTGACTGAGATTGCCCTTTGGACTCACTCCAGATCAACTGGGAACCCAAAATTAGGCTGGCTGTGTTTTCTCCTGGATCGCCACTGTTTACCTTACACTGGGGCTCAGGACTAAAAGGACTCCACCCCAGAGCGCACCATGTCCCCTCCCACAGCCATGGGGGAGACAGTGTTGGGGAACACTGAGCAGGCTAGACAGGGATCCCCAAGAGGTTCAAACTTGGGCAGGTTCAGGCTGGCCTTGAATTTGTGGGAATCCTTCTGCCTCAGCCTCCTGTGTGCTGGGATTACAGGTACCCACCAGCATGCTTGGCTTCACCTTTAAATAGTTAACTCTAGGCCACTACTGTTGAATTCTATATATTTCCTGTTTTACTGTCTTATAAAAATTAACAAAAATATGCAATTTTTGGTCATCCTGTATTTAAATAACTGGACAGATAAGTGGTTAGCGGGTTTTCTCTGCATATCAATAGCCAGATCACCTTGGTAACATTTACAGGAGTGCAATCCATTCCCAGAAAACTGGGTGCTGGGCCAGTGACACTGCATCCTCCTTATAAAATTAACAAAGGTGGTCAGACCTCGGGACAGAGGCAAAGATTACAGTCAGCCACTCCCTGAGTGCATGCATCACTAGAAAGCAGACACTGAGTCTCTCTCCACAGTAGCAACAAAGCATTTGTCTCCTGCCTCTGCTTCCTCCTCCTTCCTCCTTTCTCCTCTCTTCCCCCTCTCCTTCTCCTTCTCCTCCTTTTTCTTCTTTTGTACTGGGGATTGAACTCAGGGCCTTGCCCCTGCTGGGCAGACACTGTGCCACCGAGCTCTATCTCTGGCCAAGATTTTCTACTACAAGCAATCACAAACTCAAGCACAAAAGAAACAGGCAAAGCAAACATGAGGAAATAGGTAACAAAATGCTTCCCAAAACATCCAAATTCTCCAAAACCAATTCTCAGGACATTTAGGAGGGAAAAAATGAAGGCCACCGAGTCACATTATCTGACAGGATACCAGAGATTAAACAGCAGGTCATGAAGGTGCTCAGTGGGTTTACAGAAGACATCATGAGCTGGCAATAGACGCACTAAGCAGAACCATCAGGGGCTTCAGGAAGACACTAGTAAAAAGCTAGGTGATCTAAACAAAATAATGCAAAACACGGATGTGGAGTTTAGCAAAGAATTAAGAGACCATAAAACGGTTTCCAACAGTAACCCGGGAGATTAAACATTATAAGGAAAGTAGACACAGCAGAAACAACCAGTGTGAGGACAGAGTACTAGAACTGCAAGACAGGGATGCTTACAAAGACCAACTACTCACACCACCTTAAAAACAGCATGAAAAATGGATCCAGCAGCTGCCAGATGATGTAAAGAAGACTAGTTAAGGTTAAAAGGAGTAAGCGAAAAATCAGAATACAGCGCAAAGGGCATTAAAAACGTGTTTACAGAAGTAACAGCAGAAAACTTTACAAATACAAGGGAAGATATGATCAGATAAGTGAGGCATACAGAACCTCAGTCAAAAGGGAACCTCTCCATGTCACGTGAGTGTCAAAACCCCAGAAGTCCAACACAGGGACAGAATCTTAAAAGCTGCTAGAGAAAAGTAACAACTCTTCCTCAGACGGAGGACTACTATCTCTAACATATATAAAGAATTTTTAAAAGATCAGATCCTTCCAAATAAAAGACCCAGTCAAAACATGGGCAAGTGAAATGAACAGACATTTCTCAGAGGACGTATCAATGGCCAATAAATACATAAAGAAGGGTTCAACATCACTGGCCAACTGAAAAATGCAAACTACACTTCTCATCTTACCCCAGAAAGAGTGGCTGTCACTAAAAAACAGCTAATAAAAACAAATACTGGCAAGGATGTGGGAAATGGATTCTTCTACATTGTTGGTGAGAAGGTAAACTAGTATAGTAACTATGGAAATCAGTGAAAAGTCCTCACAAAACTAAATATAGAAATTCCACTTGACCCAGCTATTCCCCTTCTAGGTAGCTTCCCAAAACATTCAAATCATCTTCTATAGGAATGCAGGCATCTGCAGGTCTACAGCAGCACAACTTACAATTAAAACCTGGCAACAGTGTATGTCTACCAGCAGATGAATGGATGTGGAAAGCGTATTTATACGCAGTGAAGCACTGCTCTACCATAAGGAAAGATAACCCTGAGGCATTCACAGGTAAACTGATGCAACTTGAGAACATCTTAAGGGAAATAAGTCAGAGATATATGTGTGTATCTTAAAGAATACATTGTTTCTCACCCCAATATATATGTACAAATAAAAAAAAGGTAAATAGGAACTAGGGAAAAGTTCAAACAATTCCCCAAATTACCTATTCCATTGTTTCTAAAAATATTTTAATATATATACTAATTTGTTTCAATTATACTACTGGTTTTTTTGTTTATTTTTTTGCAATAGGGTTTTACCACGCAGTTCAGGTTGGCTTTGAGCTCACTTTGTAGCCCAGGTTGGTCTCAAACTTGCAATGATCCTCTCGCCTCTGCCTCCCAAGTGCCAGGATCACAGGCACTCGTTTCTTAGTTCATTGAAAAAAAATTTGGTTTTATGTATTTTTGTGTTTGCTACATGTATTCTCTTTAAATTGAAGGATTACTTGACAAATTTTAATATGCAAAATCAATACATTTAAATGTTTTAAACTAGCTGTATATCAGTTTACAACAGTAACATGATCTTCCACATTAACATACTGAACAAAAATCTTCTGTATGAACTCTTTATCGGTAAAAGCCCAAACGAGGCCAGCTGGGCTAAGGCCTGGCTTCCCTGTGGGCAGGAGAGTGGCCATGGGGAAAGGAGAAAAGAAGGACAAGCCGTGTAAACAGACAGACAAACAGCAAACCTGAATGTCTGTGTTATTGGGGCTCAGAAGTTGGGGCTGAGTGAGAACGCAGAAGAACTTGTATTTGAGACAGTGGCTGAACTTTCCCTAATTTCGATAAGACATAGTTTCAGATTCAAGAACCTTAGTAAAATGAAAAATAAAAAGAACACATTATCACATCTCAGGCAGATCACTAAAAACCAAAGGTAAAGAGGAGATCTTGAGAGCAACCCCCAAAAAGGACAAACCACATCCAGAGAACAGTGCTTTTTTTTGGTACCAGGAATTGAACTCAGGACCTTGCACTTGCCAGGCTGGTGCTTACACTGCTGAGCTAAATCCTCAGCTTAGAACAGCATCTTCAATGTCAGTGTTTTCTCATCAAAATCGATACAGAAGATCGCCAGGAGTTTGAGAGAAGCCTGGGTTATATAGTAACAGTTTAGGCCAGCCTGGACTACATGTGAGACTCTGCCTCAAGGCAAACAAGCAAACAAAAAAAACTTTGTCCTCAGCTTCTTCAGAGGTGCTCAAGGGAAGTTCTTCATGCTGAAGGGCTGCGAAACCAGGTGGAAGAGTGGAAGCTGGAATAAAAAGAAATGGCACATTTAGAGGGAAATATGAAATATATTTTCCTCTTAGTATTAAAATACATATAACCATTTAATGCAAATATCACCCCACCCCTGTGGGTTGCGCTCAAAGTCTCAGGGGGCTCCCTGAAGAGCATCGGCTCTTCTTGTGAGGCCTGGGACACCCTGGGAGGATCCTTGGGTAGGGTATGCCTGTGACATCAAAATGATTCCCGCAGAGATGCTAAGACGTTTGCTTCCCTCCCTAACAGGGTCACGGGGCCAGGAGGAGGCCACAGGACACATGCACCTCATCTCCTGGCAGCAGATGGGATGGACGCTGTATGTTTTTGGGTTTTACACTTCTTTCCCTGTACTTTCTAACACAGTGACCGTTAACAGACATAACGCACATAAGCAAGAACTCCCAGGCTTTCCAGTCACTTTGGATGGTATAAAGCCTAAAACCTGCAGAGGCTCAGCTAATAGGGCGGTGATTCGGTCAGAGCTGACCTCTGACGTCTGAGCTGGCTTAATCTTGGGAAACTGGGAAATCACCAGGTCTGTCTGTGGCTGATGGCTGGGGACCCACGTGGACCTTTCCACTCTAAAACAGGTTTAGACCCAGCGAGGAAGTGGGGCAGTTGGTCACCATACTGGAATGTGTCAATCGGGTCTCTCGGCACACGGTTGACCAAGCCCCAGGGCATAAGGTCAAGGCACTGCTGTCCAGCGCAGGCGCACAATGGGTACACTTGACAAGCAGGATTGAACACAGGCAACTGTGCACGCACCACCCAGTTAGGCCCTTATGCAAGAACGTGACCGCCCCTGAACAATCAGGATGCTGGTGGCTGTGGCTGTGGCGGCTGCCAGCTCAGTGCTTGCTTTTCTCTGGGGAACTCGCCCACAAAAATAGCCTTTCGGCCCTGACAACTATTCACAAATACAAAAAATGTTCATGAGAAACATGTAAGATTACGGGTTATGGATCATTTAAAGTCTGTTTGCTCAAATTTCTGTAATATTAGCAAGTTACTTCAGTAGTTACAAAAGAAATGTACTTAAAACTTTTTAAAACCCTACATGAAAGCACCAGATCACTTCTCCCATGTGAAGTTTCTCCTAATGTCCTTTCTTCTGCCTAGTAAAATGGTACTGTCGCCTGCCACAGAAGCGGAAGTCCTGACCTAACTGCAGCCATTCTGTTCTGAATCATGTGATTTGCTAGCAAACTGAAAGGTCTGTGAGTGCACGTGCCAAAGACAACTTTTCACAAAAACGATGCTCACTGTATCAACCTTTACCAAAAGCTTATCTGTTCTTGTAACTTCTGTTTACCACCTTATAATTAAAATGAGCTCTCCATAACAAACACCTCAGACTTTGGAGAGTGCTCCTTGGAGTCAATAAAATCCCTTTCTTTTCCTGAGTACCTGGCTACTGCTGACTTAGTTCTTTCTGCAACACTATGACCTATAGTTTCTATTACCTTTAGGTTGGGTGTGGTGGTGCCTGTAATCCCAGCACTTTCGAGGCTGAGGCAGGAGAAGCACCACATTCAAGACCAGCCTGGGCTAGACAGCAAGTCCAATGTCAGGCTAAACTGCATACTGCATGGTGAGACCTTGTCTTAAAAAAATTTTTTTTCTATTTCTTTTTTTTTTTGTACCTGGGATCAAACTCACGACTTTGCGCTTGCAAGGCAGGCGCTTATACCGCTGAGCTAAACTCCCAGCTTTCTATTACCTTTAAACCCCTTTAATCTTTGTGTTACACAAATATGAGTAGTATCACAAATCAGACTGTTTAAACATTTCAGTTGGGAGCTTATTGAGAATTTAACCAGTTTATAATTCACATCTGTCAGTATCTTTTATGCCAATTTTAACACTTCCTTGGTATTTTTGTCTTGCTAGTTTTTCTTGGGTTTTCACTTGTTTTCCATTCCAGAAACTCGGAATGTATATATTTTTGTCCACAAGTCAATCACAAATTGACATCTGCAAACTACCATTTGATGCAACAGTTACTGGTTTTCCCAGTCAGTATTTCAAATATATTCATCCCTGGGGCGACCAGAGGAGGATTGAGGTTAATTGGCCTGCTCTGGGAACACAGAGGTGAAGGCATTACCCAGGGGTGATGGCAGGTGCGGGGACCAGGGTGAAGTCACCCTGAGCAGGTACTAAATGGGCACTGGAAGGTAGCTGAGCCTGTGTGACTCTAACTGCTTGGCGGAGTCTGGGTGAATAGCAGGCAGGGGCCCGTGGAAGCCTGTTCAACGGAGAGGGTGTTCGCAAACTAGCAGGGTGGCTGGATCCCTGCCAGGTCCTGGGAGGCGCCTGGACAGGGGTTGGTCCCTCTTTAGCCAGTGCTTTGGGAATTCTCTCCTTGCATTATCAGTATTAACATTATGAACTTGTTAGTTTTCTTTTTAAGGAAATTACCATTTTCCAATTCTGTCAGATTAGCATTTAGAACGTCTTCTCTGCATTTCCACTGCCCACAGTGATGGAGCACTTTTACGTAACACATACCTGGCTTAACAACACCCATCCTCATACACACGGCTGAGTTAGGCAGCAGTATTACAGGCGGTCAGCCGGGATGGGCCCTGGTGAGTCAGAACGTGACCAGGCACGACTGTGGGAGGCGTGCGTTCATTAAGGCCAGGGACAAAAGACAGTGACCCCCAGCCTACTTCCCCTAGCCATCTGCGGCAGTGACCGATACTCTAAATAGCCCTGGGCAGCCAGGAAAGCCACTGACCCACCCCCTCCAGGAAAAGCCCAGTCCACCTATGCCTGCTGGCCATGAGACTTGCTCCCCAGTTTGATCAATTAAGTCATTAGACTCGTAATCTTACTAGGTCACCAGTTTTGTCTTGCCTCATGCTCACCTTGTGATTTCCCATTTAATCAACATTCCTAAATGACTACACTTGGAATCTTATTAGTTGATTATAGTATTGCCCACCTTAGACCCACCTCACCTTGTGGTTTTGCTCTGTAAAATTCCCAGCGCTTGGGAGGCTAAGGCAGGAGGATCACTGCAAGGTAAAAGCCAGCCTGAACTACACAGTGAAACCCTGTCTCAAAACAGGGAAAAATCTTCCCTTGACAACCCACTCAGGACCCCTCTGTCTCTCTTACACAGAAACTTTCTTTCCTCAAAAATATTTTCTCCTCTTAACCTCTGTTTTTCCTAGAATTCATTCTTTGATTTTAGAGAACATGAACTCGTATCGGACTTCTAGTAGGTTGGGAGTTATAGTTCCTCTATAACAACATTACATAGCAAAAATAAAACAGTATTTGCTGGCCCAATGCACTGAATATTTGGCGTGTACTTGACAGTAAAACTGCCTGGCATGGTAGTGCATACCTGTAATCCCAGCACCCAGGAGGCTGAGGTAGAAGGATCTCTGTGAGTTTGAGGCCGGCCTGAATTACATGGCAAAGCTTGTCTCAAACAAACAAACAAAATTACATACATTGAAAATTTACAAGCCTATTTTGCATTTGGGTTTATTACCCATATTGTAACGTTATACTTCTTAATCAACTAGTTTTAAACATCGAATCTTTCATACAACTATCTTCCTACTCTAATTTTTCTGTTGGCTGCAGTTAATCATTGAGTAAAATTTTCAGAGAAGGTTCTTGGTCGAAATAAACTTTCTTAACCCCCTTGGTATCTGACATCAACATCTGAGACTGTATTCCAGTTGCCTTCATACACAAATGCTAATTTAACAGGGTATATAATTCTTGGCTTGTAATTATTTTTTCTTAGAACTTTGTGGATGTTGTTCCATTGTCTTGTGGCACTTAGAACCACAAAAGAAAAATCTGAGGTCAGCCTGCCTTTACCCCTTTACAGGTATTGATTTATAGCTGGATTTTGCCCCTCCCCGAAAGCTTTCCATAGTCCTAGGTGGGGAGTTTTATTTTTTTTTGTATTTTGTATTTTTACTGGTACCAAGGATCAAACTCACGACCACAGGCTTGCAAGGCAGGTGCTTATACCGCTGAGCTAAATCCCCAGCCCCTTGGTGGGGAGTTTTGAAAGTGGCTGGATTAGGGTGTGTGAGTGTGGATTAAGGGTGTGATGCTGGGAATTAAGGGTGTCCCATCCTGGGGGTGGTTAGCAACAAAATAGGCTTCCAGCCTGCAGGGACTATAAAAGGGGGGAGAGGACGGCAGCCCTGCTGACCCTGCCTGCTACCTTCTGCCTGCCATGCATGAGCTGTTTCTCCTCCACGATGCCCCTCTGCCAGGCCACCCTGCCTTGGAGCCAGCTGACTATGGACTGAAACCTCTACACACTGTAGGCTAAGTAAACCTGTCTTCCTCTACCTTTGGGTTTCAGGTATTTTGTCTCAGCAACAAGAAACGTAGTTAAGACAATAGGTAACCTGTTTTCTCTGCCTGGATACCTGCAAAATTTTTTCTTTATCCTTGAGACTTTAAGAAATCATGAGGGTATGAGTAGAATGTTGCTTTCTTTTAAGTTACCACCTGAGCCTTCTTTATTTGCAGGCCTACTTCATTCTTCAACTCAGGAAAGTTTCCTTCAATTAGTCCTGTAATTATCATTTCAGTTTCATTTGCTTGGTCCTGTTTCAGGTATTCCTATTATGCACAGATTGTGTCTCCTACACAGGCCCTGTGTATCTCTCTTCTTGTTCATCTTATTATTTATTTATTTAGTCTTTTTGAGACAGGATTTCACTGTGTGGTTCAGGCTGGCCTTGGGCTGTGTAGCCCAGGCTGGTCTCGAACTTGCAAGGATCTGCCTGCCTCAGCCTCCTGAGTGCTGGGATTACAGGAGTGCACCACCATGTCTAGCTTCATCTTACTTTCTTTGATCTTTTTCTGCATTCTCTGAGAATGTCTCATTTTCCATTTACTTCAGGAATTGTATTTTGTAACCAGCCCTTCCTTCAGTGGCAGTTCACAATCTCTTCCATGTGTTCACCTACTGTATAGGTAAGCCCACATGGATACTGAACTCTCTTATAGCAAAACACGCAGTGCTTTCCAGATGGTCACTGCAGACCAGCACGAGTCTCAGGAGGAGGCCTTTGTCTGATTACATTCTACCCTCTGAACTGGTCTTAGGGCCTTTTCTTTTTGGAGACAGGGTTTCACTGTGCAGTTCAGGCTGGCCTTGAATTCATTTTGTAGCCTAGGGTTGGCCTTGAACTTGCAGCAATCCTCCTGCCTCAGCTTCCTGAGTACTGAGATCATAGGTGAGTGCCACTATGCTCGATAGTAACCTTTTTAATGTTCTGTGCAATGGGGAACAAAACCAGTCTTTCCAAGCACCAAAGCGGAAGAACTTGTTTGCTGCTGCTTTTTAAGAGACATCATTATTCTAGGTCTTGTCCTCCGAGTACCTACTTTGACAAGAATCATGCACAGCCTATTTACTATTGTTACCATTTTGTTATGAAATTTTTTTTTCATTAAAAAAAAAAAGAAAGAAAAATTCCAGGCATGGTGGTACCTGTAATCTCAGCATTTGGGAGGCTAGCCTGGGCTACAAAGTGAGTTCAAGGCCATCCTGAACTGCATAGTGAGACCCTGTCTCAAAAAAATAAAATAAAAATTTTTTTAAAAAAAGCAAAAAGTCACCTAGAAAGAAACCCAACAGAATTACAACAGATTGGGGGAGGGATTTAGCTCAGTGGTGCAGTGCCTGTCTGGAAAGCGTGAGGTCTTGAGTTCTATCCCAGGTAATCCCCTACAAAAACAATTATAGTAGATCTTTTCACACAGAACTTTATAGACCAACGGGGAAAGCTGGGAGTGAAATGTTTCAAGCCCTAAAAGATAACAACATCCACACCAGACATATATCCTGCGAAACTTCATGGAGAAATAAGGCATTTCTGTAATAAAGAGCACCTCAAGAAATTCATGACCACCAAATCAGCTACAAAAATAAATTTTTTTTGAGACAGAGTCTTGCTATATAGTTCAAACTGGCCATGAACTCACTACAGAACCTGGGCTGACCTCAAACTCATGGTAATCATCCTACCTCAGCCTCCTGAATGCTAGGATGACAAGTGTGTGCTACCATGCGTAGCAAAAAAATTTGTGAGGATATCCTAGAAAAAGAATGAAGCCCAATGCCAAAAAAATCTGATAGAATGAATACACTAATAAATGTGAGCAGTTAAGCAGAAAGGAGAAAAACAAAGAAAAGAAGCTAGTAATAGGAAAATAATGCAAGGACAAAAATAAATCATCCAGGTATGGTGGTACACATCAGTAATCCCAGAACTCAGGAGGCTAAGGCAAAAGGATCCCCTAAATTCAAGGCCAGCCTAGGCTCCATAGTGAGGTCAAAGCCAGACTGAACCCTTTTCCACTATTGGTGGGAGTGTAAACTAACACAACCAATATGGAAATCAAAGTGGAGACTTCTCAAAAAACCTGGAACACCAGGTTCCATTTGACCCAGCTATCTCTCTTATGTATTTTCCTGTAAGAGTTAAAAGCCCTAGGTCAGGGGTGTAGCTCAGTGGCACAGTGCCTGCCTGATAGGTGTGTGGGGGATGGGGAGGGAAATGGGATTAAAAAAAAGAACTAATTTAGGGGATCCTCCTGCCTCAGCCTCCTGAGTGCTGGGATTACAGATGTGTACCACCATGCCTGGATGATTTATTTTAACCTGTTCCAACTTCCCACATGAAATGTGTACATTATACATTACAAACACATACTAATAAAAAATACTAGTGCTGTTAGGCTTTCTTTTAAACATTATTTATTTTTGCATCATTGACCATTAGGAGTTTTTTTCTTCGAATTGTCCTTGTCCTTGGCTATTTTTCCTACTAAGCTGTTCACCCTGGTTCTTTGTTTTACACACACCTATCAGGCGGGGAGCTCTGGGAGGCCAAGGATTAAAGCCCCACTTCTTTACCCTAGCCATCTCCAAACTTCATCGTCAGCATCAGCATCAGCATCTACCTACCTGGGATAAACCCAAGGCCTGAAGTACGCCAGGTGAGCCTGCCAGCCCCGCACCAGCAGGGAGCAGGTGGTTAGCTGCAGCCACACAACTGCTAAGTGGCAGAAGCAGGACTGTGACGCAGCCGCTCCGGTTTTTTGAGACAGGTTGTCGATATATAGTTTAAGCTGAGCTTGAACTCACTATGTAGCCCAGGGTGGCCTCAAAGTCTCGGTGATCCCCCCCTATCAGCCTCTCCAGTGCTGGGATTCCAGGAGGGTTCCACCTGCACCCCGGCCAGCCCCCACCTTTTTTTGTGGGGACTGGGGGCGGGGCGGGGGGGCAGAGTCTCGCTATGTAGTACAGGCCGGCCTCGAACTCACACTGATTTCCCCGCCTCAACCTCCCGAGTGCTGGGATTACAGTCGTGGGCCACCACACCCGGCAAGTGCTCTGATTTTCAACCAGTGATTTACTGAAGTTATCCTTCGCTCCTTTTAGAGAAGCTTGCTTGGGCCGTGAGAGGATACCAACTGAACAGCACTTTTAAATGAATACATAACAGGCAATCTCCAGTACAAGCCTGCGTCCCTTCCTTTTCCCACGGTAGGATAGGGCTCCGCCTCGCTTTCTTCCGCTTCGCGTCTCTTTTGGCCCCAGTGGCTAACCGTCGCCGGGGCGGAGGCCTCCGATAGTTGACAGAATGGCGTCGGCGACACCAGATTCCCAGGCCCGATTTGGTCAGTCAGTGAAGGGGCTCCTCACGGAGAAAGTGAATACCTGTGGAACCGACGTGATCGCACTTACCAAGCAGGTGCTGAAGGGCTCCCGGAGCTCCGAGGTGAGCCAAGAGTCCAGCCCAGCACCCCAGGACCCGCAGCCCTCCCCGGCAGCAGGGCGGGCATCGGAGTGCATCCTGGGAGTGCAGGCCGGGACCCGGCCTCGGAGAGCCTGGTTCCCGGGGCGCGTGGTGCATTCTGGGGTGTGTAGTCTCTGGCTAGGGTTGGCGGCTTGGAGGTGGAGGCGACGTGATGGGCTTCTGTTATAGCGGTATTGGGATTGAATCCAGTACCTCCACACTGAGCTACAACCCGTCCCCTTTTATTTTTATGTATTCATTCTCTTATTTTTTATTTTGGGACAGGGGCTCGGACTTGCCATCCTCATGCCTCAGCCTCCCAAGTGCGGGGAATTTGCTTTAAAACTAAATTGCAGGGCAGAGGATGAGCTGATGTTCCTAACCAATCTCTTATTGGCCCTCGGGGTCGTCTCTGGTGAGCATCAGTCTCCGCCCCGAAATTCTGCACGGTTTTGCCTTCTGCGGCCCAAATTTCTTTCACGCTTGTGTGTATCACTTGTTTATGGATTGATTGTGTCCCGACTTGTGTGTCTGGCCGCGTTCTTGGTTTTCAGTTCCTTAGCTTTTCTCCTTTGCTCTGCGGGCGTGCCCCCCATCTGTGAATGGAATTATTTGATGGCATTTTATCGCCAGAAAGCTTTATAGATAGGTCCCCTCTGCTTTTCCCCAAAACAGACCTGCTGAATTAGGAATTCACCCGAGAGAAATGACCTTAGCACTCTGATTTGGGATACTGCCATCGGGAAACAGCTCAGATGCTCTTGGACTGATGAATGGGCAGATGAAAAGAGTCCAGTGGTGTAGCTGCTTTACTCCTAGATATTTACTTAAGAGAAACAAATACATATGTCCATCATTTTGTTAGCTAAAACAACAAAATATGTGACATAACCAAGATTTTCATTTTTGCCTTTTTTTTTTTTGGTATTTTTGAGACAGGGTCTCACTATGCAGCTCAGTTTGTAGCCCAGGCTGGTCTTGAACTCACAGTGATCTGTCTCAGCTTCCCAAGTGCTTGGATTATAGACGTGAGCCACCATGCCTGACTATGACATTGTTGAACTCACTGACTCTGAGTCACAATATACTCTGTGCGGGGGTTCCCTAAGATACATTCTTTTAGGGTTCAGTATCAGAGGAAAGTTAATCTTTTTTGAAGAATTATTGTTTCTTTTGCCAAATAATAAAGTCATGTGTTTTGTTGTATTTCACATTTTGCTGTGATTGCACAGTAGTCCTGTGTCAGTTTTGGTAGTAGCCATGTGTATTTCCTTCTCTTTTTCATGACTTTCAAATTCCGCATGGTGTGATAAAAATATAATGAATATTTAAATTTTAAAAATTTATTACAGTAAAAGATATGTTACCATTAATTTTCCTCAAAACACTGCCCCTTGCTTCAAACACACATTCTTACCACTTCCCAAAGCTGTTCTGGAAGTCCCTAGTTTCTCGATGTCTTCAGTTGTGCTGTCGTGGCTGCCTCGATGTCCTCACGCTTCACGTTTGGTGGTCATTCTGTCTCTGGGGAAGAGTCAGGAGCCACATAGGGCCCGAGGTGGTGAATAAGGTGGGCCAGGACACACTGTGATGTTCTCACCTGCCTTTTAATGGATGACAGTTGTTGGCAATGTTCACTGTACTTGGTGATCACACCTCATAAAAACAATCACAAAAAAGGTCTCGCAGAACTGCTGTGGCAGGTGGCACCAATGATGGGTAAGTGTGTTCAAGGTGAGGGGGAGCCCACACTGATGATCTTGGAATTCAGGAGGCTGAGGCAGGGGGATCACTGAGAGTTCAAGGCCAGCCTGTGCTACATGGTGAGTTCAAGACCATCGTGAACTACACGGTGAGACCTTGTTTCAAAAACAAAACAAACAAACAAAAAAACAGAGCGAGGGAGAATATTTTGAGGGGGATTAATGGCAGTGTCTCTTACTACAATAAATTTTATTTAAACATTCATACATTTCAGTCACACCTTACATTTCTGCTTTTAAGTGTGTTCTCACACACACATACATATTGTTTGGTATAAATTGTCTCAAATCCTTTTTTGGAAGAAATGGGATATAGAAACATGTGTAAATTTTAAAATTGATGATGCCCAAAACCACCCATGTATGTTAATCACCAAGTGCTGGGTGCTGTGGTTTATGTAGTTTAAATTGTGAAGGTTTTGTGTGTGTGTGACACTGGGGATCAAGCCCGGGATGCTTTATTACTGCGCTTCATCCCCAGCCTTTCTCTGTTTTTGCTGGGGACCCGGTCTGTCTGCCCTTGAACTTGATCTCCTGAGCACTGGAAACAAGTAGCACACTCCCGGTGGCCTTGTAACCACCAACCAAGGAAGTGCTTTCCTTCGTGCTCGACACAGACACAGAAGCCCGGAGTGGCCGCACATCCTGCACCCCAGCATTCTGGGAGGCAGAGGAGGGAGGCAGGGGGATCGATCACAAGTTGGATCCCAGCTTGGGCAGCTTAGCAAGATTGGGTCTCAAAGCAAAAAATAAAAAGGGCTGGGGATGTAGCTCTGTGAAAGGCCCTGAAGGGGGCGGGGAGAGTAGGTGGGGGAGGAATTTTGCTTTGTGCATAGTCATACCTGGCTGAGAAAGGGGAGAGAGTTGGGTTCAAACCCAGGTGAGCTAATCCTAGAAATATACCTTTTTAAAAATCAAATTCATTTTATTCAAAGATAAAAAGAAAGAAAGAAAAAAAACCACCACAAAATTTTAAAACACATCAATCAGGAGGCAGCAATGGTACATAGATTGTGCATTGCCATCCCCAAATCATTCATCCAGAGCACAACACCTCTGCATTCAACTGTCCGAACAACACCAGCACAAATATTTCTCTTCAATGAACTCAGAGAAATCAGTAGTATAACTATATTTTTATATACATATGCATAGCATATACATGTTTTTCCTTTCAGCTTCTCACACTAATGAAACAATATATTTACATATTTACATGTGTGTCCTATTTCATTAATGAGTATGTTCTCAAGTTGCATCCATTTACCTATAAAAGTGTACAGATGAACTTTTTGTTTTTTGTTTTTTTATTGGTACCGGGGATTTAACTCTATCAAGACCACACGATAGCAAGGTAGGTGCTTATGCTGCTGAGCTAAATCCCCAGCCCCCAGTTGATCTTTTTTATGGTTGAGTATTACTCCATTGTATAAAAATACCACATCTTTTGTACCCATTCCTCAGTTGATGGGCATTTAGATTGTTTCCAAGATATAGCTGCTATAAACATGGGTGCACATATATCACTGTGGTATGATGTTTTTAATTCTTTTGGGAAGATACCCAGGAGGAGAATAGCTGGGTTGAATGGGACCTCTAGTCCTAGTTTTTTGAGGATTCTCCACACTGATTTCCACAGTGCTTGTACCAGTCTGCACTTCCACCAACAGTGGAGAGAGTTCCTTTTTCCCCACAACCCTCTGGCGTTTGTTACTAGTTGATTTCTGGATAATAGACATTCTTTCTGGGCTGAGGTGAAATCTCAGTTTTGTTTTAATTTCCATCACTCGAATGACCAGTAATGCTGAATAATTTTTCACATATTTATTTGCTGTTCATATTTCTTCATTTGAGAAGTGTTGTATTCATCTCAGATGCCCATTTTTGGATTGGGTCTTTAAATCTGGGAGAGCTGATTTTTTTGAGCTCTTTGTAGTTCTCAATAGTAACCCTTTGTCTGAGGAACAGCTGGCAAACATTGTCTCCCACGTTGTCTGTTGCTGGTTTCTCTTGCTGTGCAAAAGCTTTTCAGTAGGGTGAGATCCCAGTTGTTGATTCTTTGTGATGGTTTCTGTGCAACTGGGTTTTGTTCATGAAGTCTTTGCACCATTGTCTTTTAGAGTTTTACCTATTCAATCTTCCAGGAAATTTAATGTTTTTGTTTTAATGCTAAGATATTTGATCCATCTTTGATCCATTTTGATTTTAGCTTAGTACATGGTGAAAGGTGTGGGTCCAGTTTTAATCTTGGGCATGTGTAGAACCAGTTTTTCCTTCGCCATTTATTAACGAGGCTTTCTTTCTTCCAGTGAATGTGTTTGACACTTTTTTCAACGATAAGATGTCTGGGATTGTTTCTGCATATTCTAATCTGTTCCATTGATCTTTGGGTCTTTTTTTTTTTGCTAGTACCACACTGTCACAATAGCTTTATAGTATAATTTCAAGTCAGGGATTGTGATGTTCCTGTCTTGTCTTTGTTGCCCAGGATTGCCTTTTCTATTCTAGGTTGTAGGTTTTGATTACCGTATTTTTGATCACTGTATTTTTATTCATTCTAGATGATTTTTAGGATAGTTTTATCTAATTCTGTGAGGTACGCTAGTGGAATTTTGATTGGGATTACATTGAATCTGTGTAACAGTTTTGGAAGTGTGGCCATTTTCACTGTATGAGTTCTTTCTACTCATGAGTATGGGATAGCTTTCCATTTTCTGATATCCTCTTCAGTCTCCTTTTTCAGAGTACTGTAATTTTCATTGTAGAGGTCTTTTACATCCTTTGTTAGATTTCTTCTTAGGTATTCCATTTTTTTTGGATGCTATTGTAAAAGGTATCGTTTTGCTGAGTTTTCTCTCAGTGAGTTTTTGTGTACAGAAAGCCTATTGATTTTTGAGTGTTGACTTTGTAACTAGCTACATTACTGAATTTCCTTATTAAATCTAGAAGTCTTTTGGTGGAGTTTTTGGGAGTATCATGTCATCTGCAAATAATGATTGTTTAACTTCTTCCTTTTCTATCTTCTATTCATTCTATTTCTTTCTCTTGTCTAATTGCTCTGGCTAAAGTTTCCAGGACCGTGTTGAACAAGAATAGAACTATGTACATCCTTGTCTTGTTCCTGATTTTAGAGTAAAAGTTTTCAGTCTTTGTCCATTTAGTATGATGTTGCTGTTGGTTTGTCATAGATGGCTTTTTATCAGATTGAGATAAAGAGCATCTCTTCCAGTGTTTTGTAGGATTTTTATCCTAAATCCATGCTAGACTTTGTCAGAAGCTTTTTCTGCATCTACTGAGATGATTATGTGATTTTTGTCCTTGGCTCTGTGAGTATGATATATTACATTTATGGATTTTTGTATGTTGAACCATGCCTGCATCTCTGGGGTGAATCACACTTGATCATGGTGTACAATCTTCTTGACAATTTGCTGCAGTCTGTTCGCCAGTATCTTATTGAGGATTTTGGCATCACTGTTCATTAGGGGAGATTGGCCTGTAATTCTCTTTCTTAGTTGGGTCCTTCTCTGGTTTTGATATCAGGGTAATGCTTGCTTCTAGGAATGAATTTGGAAGTATTGCTTCCCTTTCAATTTCATTAAAGAGAAGTAGTGGTGTTAGGTCTTCACTAAATTTTCTTGATGAATTCAGCAGTAAATCCTTCAGGACCTGGGCCTTTCTTTGTTGATAGTTTTTTTTTTTTTTCTGAGCTGCATGAAATCCAATGTTGATAGGTTTTTAAATACATTTTCAATTTCATTTATTGATATTGGATTATTTAGGATTTTTATTTATTTATTTATTTGATACCAGGGGTTGAAATCATGACCTTTTGCTTGCCAGGTAGGCGCTTACACCACTGAGCTAAATCCCTAGCCAGGATTTTTTATTGTATTTTTTTGGTACCAGGGATCAAACTTATGACCTTGCACTTGTCAGGCAGGTGCTGATGCTGCTGAGCTAAACCCCCAGTTCCAGCCAGTTGTGGTAATTCATATGTATCTAGGAAATCTGTCCATTTGTTCTGTATTTTCCATCTTATTAGAATACAAGTTTTCAAAATAGGTGTAGATGATTTTCTGGATTTCTGCAGGGTCTGTTGTGATTTTGCCATTTTCATTCCTAATTATAGGAATTTGAGTCTTTCCTTTTTTGATAAGGTTGGCTCAGGGTTTGTCAATTTTAATCTTTCAAAGAACCAACTCATCAATTCATTGTAATTTTTTGTTTGTTTGGTTTTTGGTACCAGAGATCGAATGCATGACCTTATACTTGCCAGGCAGGAGCTTACACCGCTGAGCTAAATCCCCAGCCCTCTACTGTTTTTTCAGTCTCCAGTGTGTTAATTTCTGCTCTGATCTTTTCCTCCCTTTATGAGCTTTTGGTCTAGCCTGCTCTTCTTTCTTAATGCTCAACATTAAGTTGTTCATAAGCACTTGCTTGGTTTTCCTGATATGGGAATTTACTGCTATAAATTTCCCCCTTGGAACTGCTTTCATTGTGTCCCACAAGTTCTGATGTGTTATATTGTTATCATTCAACTGTAAAAACTGTCTAGTTACTTCTTTAATTTCATCTGTGACCCATTGATTGTTCAGCAGGGTGCTATTTATTGTCCATGTGTTTATGAAGTTCTTGTGGATTTCCAGTTTCACTGAATGTGGTCTGAGAGTGTGCATGGGATAATTTCAGTCCCTTTCCATTTACTGAAGCATGTTCTGTGAGCCAGTGTGTGGTCCGTTTTGGAGAACATTCTGTGTGTAGCCCAGAGGATGTGTATTGTGATGTTGTGGGGTGGAGCACTCTATAGATGTCTGCTAAGTCCGTTTGCTCCAGAGTTTGGTTTAGTTCTGATGTTAGGAATACACACTCTTCACTACTTCCGCTCCTGGGGTACCATCTGGGTTAAGTGGCCGAAAGGTCACTGTGCCACTGTGATGGTCTTAATGTGGCTTATTCCATCCTGGTCCTCATTGCTGTGTTTTCTTCACCTGACTTTTAGATTTAGGTTGAGTGCTCAGTAAGTGAAGGCGAAACAATCCAGTTTTCTGGGCCAGCACTGCCCTACCATCAGTTCTCAGAACTCTGTCTGTTTGCTGGTTCTTTTATGTGTAATTTACGCAGCCTTTTTCTGTAGTTAAGTACTTTTACCATTTCCTGTGCTGACCCGTGAGGTCACTGATTTTGAATCCCCTGCAGCCTCAGAGCATCGCGTCTTTAGCGGCCTCCGCCTAGAAGTTTTGAGTAACTGACACTGCGCTTGTCCTCTGTGTGCCAGGAACTGTCTGGTGGTACAAGGGGTAACTAAAATATCTCTCTGCTGGGAAGCTTACGTTTTCATGAAAAGACAATAAATAAAAAACTGAAGTGGTAAGAGGCGCTTGGGGAAGGGTCTTGGGTGTGCGTGTGCACTGCACAGACCAGGCAGCGGGCAGTGGGCAGCGGGCAGCGGGCAGCGGGAGCAAGCCACGAGGTGTCTGGCCAGGGACACGGGGGCAGGTGGAAGGCCTGGCAAAGCGCACGGGAGGCCACGAGCCCGGGTAGAACGGGAGCAGTGGCTGCTGCGTCCTGCGCTGAGGCGCCTGTGACTGCGGGCTGCTCTCTGCACACCTGCGCTCTGCCACCTCCACTGGAGCCCTGAGCTCGGTGGGTACCCTTTGCGTCTTCCTAAACCTGTTCATGTAGGTGTGTAAGCATGGACTGCAGTGACACAAAAAGCAATGGCAGATGATGAGGGTGCTGCGGAGACAAGGGGAAAGCATACTGCTTACGAGAGATGGGTCCCTGAGCCAACTCGGTCTCTATGAGCGAGAGGATAAGCAAAGCCTCGGAGAAGCACTTGTAAGATTCAGAAGGATTCTGTTCCTGGGTGTTTCGCAAGTGTGTTCAAGTTCTGTTTCAAGGAAGGTAAAACGGGGATCTTGGAGGGTTACCGAAGGCAGGGATGCAGGGTGCCAGCGACAGCGTCTGTTGCCAGCAAAAGACTTTGTCCCTAAATTGCAGCAGCCCTGCTTTCCTAGTCACAGATCCCATCGAGTCTAAATGTTTCTCTACCTCCGCTTCCATGTTTTGGTTTGTTTTCTGAGACACCGTCTCCCTGTGTAGTACAGGGTGGCCTTGAATTCGTGCCAACCCTCCTGCCTCTGCCTCTGCCTCCTGAGTGTAGGGATTACAGGTGTGTGCCACTGTGCCCAGCTCATTACATCTGTGTAGGTTGCTTTCAGAGGCTGTTAGCAGTGTTCTAAGCAGGATCTCTGCTTGCGTCCCCACAATTCTGAGGCAGTGAATCTAATTGTGCTATTTTTTCTATAAATTTACATGGAAGATAAACCCAGGCTTCAAACGCCTGCCCTGTCCGGGAGCAGATGAGACACCCCTAGCCCCCACAGGCTTGCAGATCACCCATCGCTTCTCCATCAGCCTTCACTGAAGTTACTGCTTCTGTAGCCCCTCTAGGATTGTGACCCACTATTATTCTTGTCCACATTATAAACAATACGTGCCTGCTTCGCAATAATGTAGATCCTGTCAAGACATTTTCTTCCTTTTTCTTTGTCTCTGTTTTTTTGAGATATGGCTTTGCTATGTAGTTCAGGCTGACCTTGAACTCACTAGGTAGCCCAGGCTGTCCTCAAACTTGAGGCAATCCTCCTGCCTCAGCCTCCTAAGTGCTAGAATTACAGGCACTAGGTCTGGCTAAAACCTTTTCTTTCTGCCATTAGTTTGCAGTTACCATGTCCCATCTATAGGAGTTTGAATTTTGCACTTAAAAAGGGGCCAAAGGGAGCTGAAATAAAATATTTGCTTAGCATACACAAAGCCACCTGGACCCACTGGGGGATCTCTGAGGGATAGGGGTGTGGCCATAGGAGGGGAATGCTTTTATATATTGTCTAGGGATTGCAAAATGGTGCAACTCCCATGGAGGGCAGTTTGGAATATGTAGCAGAACTGGTATCTAATCACAGTTTTGAGTCTATCCCAGAAGTGTGGCTAGCAAAAAAGCAGGGTTTTTTGTAGCACTACTTACAATGGCAGAAAATTAGAAATACCCCAGAAGCTCCCAGCAGAGTTGCCAGCTGAATAATCTGTCCTACCTCTGTCTGTTATGGTTCCTGCAGCCACAGGCGGGCAGTGGGGAGACTTAGTGTGTGTCGTGGGTCGATCTCATAGGTATCTGGTGCAGTGGAAACAGTGCGGCACAGAGCCGACTTGCTGCGCTCCAGTAAAGGTTAGGCGGGAGAGTCAGTGCCACACGCCTACCAAGGCCGTGGATTCAGCCCAGTGCCTGGAGAACGCAGTGCGGCTGCAACATAGACTGCTGTTCTCTCGTCGCTCATCCCTGAGCAGTGCTAACAGAGACTGCCCTGTGTGAGGGGTCATAACCCAGAGGAGTCAATAGACTGTACGGGAGGATGCATGCAAACTCCATGCAAAACTCTGCTCGATGTAACAGACCTGGACATTTATAGAGTTGGTGGGCTGGGGATATAGCTCAGGGGAACAGCGCCTACCTGGCACGCAGGAGGTTGTTTGATCCCTGGAACCAAAAATATGAGAGAATGAGAGAGAGAGACAGAGAGAGAGAGAGAGAGAGAGAGAGAGAGAGAGAGAGAGAGAGACAGAGAGAGAGAGAGAGAGAGAGTGAGTTAGTTCCCGGGACCAATCACCTGCACAGACCAAGGGCCACCATAGCTGTATTCACTGTTTGAGGTTGGCGGAAAAAGAAAGTTAAACCAAAAGTGCATGAAGATATCTATGCGATCTGGAGAGTGAACCCAAGGCGGGGAGAGGGTTATGGTGGAATAGCCCCGGGGAAAAGATTGTAGGAAGCTTGGAAGATTTGATTTTCATCATTTTATTTTGGTCTTCCAGCTGCTAGGTCAGGCAGCTCGAAATATGGTCCTGCAGGAAGATGCCATCCTACACTCGGAAGATGTAAGCAACAATTTCTTTCGTATCTGGGGTTTATCTACACAGTCTTTGTGGCTGGAGGGAACTCAAATGTCTTGTCTTTCTTGTTTTGTGTGCAGAGTTTACGGAAGATGGCAATAATCACCACACACCTTCAGTACCAGTGAGTATGCCCTCCCCAGCCTTCATGACTGTGGCCTCGGTGACTTTGTCCTGGGGGCAAGAGAGGTGCAGGTGGCATTGGGCAAGGGTGAATTTCTTCTGAAGAGAAGTTGGGTTGGGGGTGAGAACCTTTTCTTCCCCTCTCTGTGGTAAGGCCCCTCGGAGGGAAGCCCCATTTAGGACAAGGTCCACGCCAGGACCGTGCTAGGACTCGCCCCACCCGGGCCCAGTCTCTCGTGGGATGTCTGCCTCTCCTGCAGGGGAATCCAATGTAGTAGTAATGTTTATCTTCTTTTTTTCCCACGTGTAACAGAGCACCACCTAACAGAGCACTAACAGCCATCCAGGGAACAGTGGGATATAGAGACTGCTTTTGCAGTGTAATTTTGAATAAAGCCATAATTTAATTTGTTTCTCATCTTACTTAATTCGGTTATATATTTTACACGGCTGATGTTATAGCTCATGTCTGTTTGGAAAGGTGTAGTTGGAAGTTTGAATCCTCGTATGTAAATAGCTGATGTTTCTCTTGTTTCTTTTGGCTGTGTACACAGTAAGCATGTGCTCATTTGACTCCTTATATTCAGAGCAGGTTGGACCCATGGCTGTCGTTTGCTGGGCCTCCCCCTCCCCCTGAAGGATATTGCTAGCTTTTAGGTTTAGAAGCTGCTTTTCATGGTTTAGCTTTGGTTTGGTTTTTTAGCCATTGTGCTCTTGGAATGGAATCCTATGTAGCAGTACAACATTAGGATAGGATTGTAAAAACACAGAATGGGACAGAGGCCAGAAATTTGTTTCGGCTATATCTTTCTGGCCATAAATAACTTTATGTTTATTTTATTTTATTTTATTTTTTTGTCTTTTTCGTTTTTACCGGTACCGGGGATTGAACTCACGACTCCCTGCTTGCAAGGCAGGCACTTATGCCGCTGAGCTAAGTCCCCACCCCCAGCTTTATGTTTATTTTCCTCTTTCTTTTTCTGTCTTAGGCAAGAAGCTATTCAGAAGAAGTAAGTAATCCCCAAACAGGGGAATGGGGAGCCAATTGCAGCAGGCTTGGGGAAATTGTACTGCTGTATCCTGGATCAATTGACATAGACCATGAAATCGACATGTTCCAGAATATTCATTCAGGATTTGAAGAACACAGTATATTTAAAGGCCTGTGGCAACTCAGAGACTCACTGCCAAAAGGTTTTTTAAGATAGGGTCTCACTCTGTAGTTAAGGCTAGCCTTGAACTCTTGGCGATTCTCTTGCCTCAGCCTCCTCTGTGCTGGAACTATTGATGTGTGCCATCACATCCAGTTCTAATAAAGGTTTTCTAGAAGTTATGAGGAATAGCCAGATACGGCAGTGCATGCCTGTGATCCCATCACTCTGAAGGCTGAGGAAGGAGGATTGCTGTGAGTTTGAGACCACCCTGAATGGTAGTGAGCCCTTCTCTCAAAAAACCATAAGTTATAGGATATCGAAGCTAACCCTAAGGAACAGAAAATGTTTTACATTGATGATGTCTACCAAGCAGAGTAAAAGTGCTAAGACCACTGAACAGCCTTGTCTTCTCATGTGGATTAGGTCTGTCCCTTGCTCTACTGGCTATCTTGCTAATGGGCTTTGTAAATCTTTTTCATAGTTTACACTTTTTCTTTTTTCCTGAGACTGGGTAGTGCAGTGTTGCCCAGGGTGACTTTGAACTCGTGTGTTCAGGTTCTCCTGCCTCAGCCTCCAAAGTGGCTGGGACTCCAGGGGTGTACCAGGTGTGCACTGGATACATGGTCTAAACACTTTTGGGACCCAAGTGGGCCAATATAAGTTTTAATTTAGCTGCAATAATATTCACGCATTAAAAGATAAATTGTACAAACAAATATCTCTATGGCTCGTCTCAGATAAGCCCTTTATGCTTTATTTTTCCTTTGGCCCACATCCACTGTCCATAATGAGTGTATTCATCTCAGGGAGGTGGTGTGGGCACACACTGTATTCTTAACTCTTCTGCTTTTCCCTTTCCCCATCTTTGCTCCCCCCGCTGCTGTCTGTTCTTACCTCCAGCGTTGAGCAGTCGTCAGATCTACAGGACCAGCTGAAGCACCTGCTGAAATAGACTGGCATGGAGGAGGTGATCGCACTTCTTTGCCTGATGCAGCAAGGAGCCATCTTGCTCAGCTATGGGTTTTATCTTCCATTTTTGTCTCTAAGGTGTTGATGTAATCTCTCCTGAAAAGGAGTGACATGGTTTGAGTTTTAGAAGCACTTCTTCAGTTGGACTAACCTATGCTCTTGAATTTTTAAGTTGCTCTGTTTATTTGGTATTAAAGCAAGATAAAAATCCATCTGAGTTTTTACCTTGATTTTTTTTTTTTTTTTTTTTTTTTTTTGTACCAGGGATTGAACTCACAATCTTGCGCTTGCAAGGCAGGAACTTAGGCCACTGAGCTAAATCCCCGGCCCATGCCTTAGATTTTTAATATGTCAGAAACCAATTATCTAAGCTGATGCTTAAGTAGATGCTGAGTAAAATTATACACTCAGAAGTAGACTTCCTGGCTAGACACAGGCCATGTGCCTGTGGTCCCAGCTACGTGGGAAGTTGAGGCAGAAGGATCACTTGCGAGCCCAGTGACATTAAAAAAAAGTTTCTATTGTGAACACATGAGAATGATTAAAATGTGTAGAACCTTTTTCCCTTAATTATTCATTCAGGAACTGTATTCATTGATACAGAATAGTGACACATGATGCCTATGGTTTTCTAGCTAATTCAGGGGAGGCACTTACTGGCTTTAGCAAATTCCTAAATGAAAATTAGGCCAATAGATCATATCTGGCCAGCTGCAGCCTCATGCCTTGACCTTCATTCCTAAGCTTTCTTTGTTCTTGTGACTCTTGATAAGTGACCTTGGTTCAGTGTGTAGTGTTGTAGTCCTGATTTCGTGTGTGTGCTACTGCCCTGTGTGAAGCGAGCTGAGTGGTGGCTGGTGAGGTGGCGTGGACTGGCCTCCAGTGAAGACCAGAGAGTTGGAGACACTTACCTGTGTCATTAGCTTTGCCCTGTTAGATATTACTAAACCTCAGTGTATCTCTGTGAGTTTAAAGTAGGACTCTATCCTGTGCTTGAATATTTTATTTACTAAGGAATTGAAAGAAAATTTTAAAAAAATAGGGTCTTTATTTTAGTATATGTGCTGCCAAAGTGAGCACAATGGTGTTTTCACGGATAGATACAAAAGCAAATAATAATTCATATTGTATACTATTAACTGAGTTAAGCCTCTGGTGTCTCATTTATTTCATACATACATATTAAATCAGTAAGATAATTGTGAAGGATCTACAAAGGATTCATGGCTGTGTTAGCTCTGTCAACTTTCGTTACTGACTATTTATTAAATGTAGACAAACTCCATTTACCTCTAAAAAAGAAAAACCAAGACAAGAGATATAGCTTAGTGGCCCAGCACCTGCCTGGCAAGCACAAGGTCATAAGTTTGATTCCCAGACCCATCTCCCAAAAAAGAAAATCTATCAATTTAGGAAATAAAACTATGTCTGACCTGGGTGTGGTGGTTCATGCCTGTAATCCCAGCACTAGGAGGCTGAGGCAGGAGGATGACCACAAGTTTGAGGCCCGCCTGAACTACATAATGAGTTCAAAGCCAGTTTAGGATAAACATTGAGAACTTGTCTCAAGAGAAAAAAAAAAGGCCATGTTCCCACACGTGATGAGGTGGCGAGACTGGTGGTTCTAGGGACCTGAGACACTGGCTGTGCTGTCCTTGGTGGCCAAGTATCTACAGTGTCCCTGTTGGCATGATGGCTGCCGGGGCTTCAACACTGGGCACCTAACTCAAGGGAACTCAGCTGTATTTTTTACTAATGACGTTATTTTGGGTTCATTCTTCTTTCTATAATGAGGATTAGGCTGTAGTTGGAGCTGCTGCATTAAGTAAGCGCCTTCCAGTTATCTTAGATACAGATAAGGGCTGAAATTCATTGCAATGGCCTTTGTCGCCCATAATCTAATCTTTCCTAAATCAGGCCACACAAGGAGGAGAAGCTCAAATGTAGCTGAGAGAAATGAGCAAATGCCAGATGCTTAGCAAGTGGTACCAAGACACAGGCTGACAGTGGGGCCCAGAAATGGAAACACAGTACGTGAGAGGCACAGAGGAGCTGTTGGGGCCAGTAGGAGGCCACAGGTCACCTATAACTGGCTATGGTCATCTCATCTCGTGCCATGGGACTTTCTCCCCGTGGGACTATTCCAAGTTACTGGAAGTGATACATGGGCATGGGAGAGAACAAGTTGTTTCCTTAAAGAGCTGTGATGCCTTTTTCTCAAAGGACCCTTTTGAACATCCCTTTACTTGAGAAACCAGGGGGCTGATCAGTGAACTGTCACTAAGCTCCCTTCCTGAGAGCCGTGACAACAGAGGAAACAACTACGGTATTTTTCTTCCGTCTGTAACACTAAATAAAATCTGTCTCTCAGAAACTGTCAAAACAACAACAACAACCAAAGAAATTCTTCGTAAAAGAATATGTCTGAAAATCCCAGAACCAACCTAATATTTAGTGGAAACAAAGAGTCCCAGAACCTTACAGTATGAGAGCTGGAAAGGAGCTGGAAGACTGCTTAATTCAGGCCCATGTTTTCCAGATGAAAATCACAGCCAGAGAGGTGGGATGAGCAGCCCACGCTCTCCAGGTTTGAAGTCTCTTGGTGGCTAGTTAAGCTGTTTGCTATTGGAATTTTTCTTATAGATAGATGCAAAAGAGTCATCTGTCATTGCTAGGCTTTGGCAGAAAATAAAATCATCTTGTAAGTAGTTGCAACCGACCTATTATTTATCCTTCGTGGCCCCGTTCAGAAATAATTATCTGGCTGAGTATGGTGATGCACACCTGTAATCCCAGCACTGGGGAGGCTGAGGCAGGAGGATCGTGATAAATTCGAGACCAGCCTAGGCTACAAAGTGAGCTCAAGGCCAGCCCGAACTGCAGAGAGAGAGCCTGTCAGAAAAAGAGAAAAAAAAATTATCGATGGTCAGCTAGCTTCCATTTAATTCTTCAGTGTTTGGAGATCATTTACGTAGGAATCTTGGCCATTTTGTAGGGTTCTCTTTCATTGTTGTTGTTTTTGAGCCAAGGTCTCACCGTGTAGCCCAGGATAGGCTCAAAGTCCCAGGGATCCACCTGCCTCAGCCTCCTAAGTGCTGGGATTACTGGCATGTTCCCCTGTGCCTGGCTGGAAAGCTTTATTTTTTGAAAGACGGTTCTGAGATCCGAATGAAAATCTGCTTTTCTGGACCATCCTGAGTTATCAGGTCGGCAGTTTGTGAGGTAAAATGTGTGGCAGTCTGCTTGGAGGGAAGGGAAGAATACGGAAATTTGGTTTTTTTTTTTGTCTTTTTCCTTTTTATAAGTACCAGGGATCGAACTCACAACTGCCTGCTTGCAAGGCAGGCGCTTATGCCACTGAGCTAAATCCCCAGCCCCTAGAATATGGAAATTTAATCTTTGAGAAACAGCTTTTGTGGTTAGGGTACAAGAGCCCTAATTTGGCCCAGGTAGCAGCTGCAGATGTTCAGTGTCCTGCCTCTTAGCAGGGGGAAAGTAAGACAAAAAGCAGGAGCGGGGCCTGGCCTGTGGCTCTGGGGAAGGGGACACTCAGCCCCCACACCGGAGGCCTGAACCGCAGCCGTGGGAGCAGGAGCAGCGACAGCAAGACAGACTGTGGTTGTGACAGTCACAGTCTCCCCAGTGCTGTGGGGTGGGTGAGAATAATCCAACCTAAGTGACAAGGTTTCCTCTACTACACTTAACTGCTGCTGGTTAGGGTTATCAGGTAATTCCCATGAATAAACCACAGGCTGGAGATACAATTATAAAGCAAGCACACGTGCAAACAACAGAGCTCTTCCCTTACTTTCCTGCTAATTTGCTGCCTTGGGAAAAGGCAACCATGCCAGGGGTGCTGGCCAACACCTGTAATCCCCGCACTCTGGAGGCTGAGGCAGGAGGATACTGAAAGATTGAGGCCAACCTGGGCTATGTAGCAACTTCAAGGCCAGCCTGAACTACATGGTGAGACCCTATCTCAAAAAGAAGAAGGCGGAGCAAGCATATTGAGAGAGTCAGAAGTAACTGTTTTGCTGAAGGAACTTATTTTGTGGGGAAAATATTTTGAAAAGTAATATGCAGAATATTTCTACTATTCTATGATTGCAAAACCATTAAGTGGTTTTTACACTATGAAAATATAAAAGTGCTCATTTTACACAGTTAACGGTTGGAAATGTTCCGGTATATAAAACTTCCAACAGCCATAGCTTCGATTTGTTAAAAATATAAAAATATAATACCTATTAATCAATAACAATGAGAAAATTAACTAGCCTGATCTTAAAAATTTTTGTTATTGGCAAACGAGATAGGAAAATTTAGAATTTACGTATTTTTAATTGAGACTTTACTTATTTATATATTTACTTTTTTGAGACAGGGTCTCTATGCAGTTCAGGCTGGCCTGGAGCTCACTTTGTAGCCCAGGCTGGTCTCGAACTGGCAACGACCCTCCTGCTTCAGCCTCCCTAGTGCTGGGATTAGGGGTGTGTGCCACCACACTGGGATTTTTTTTTTTTAATTCCGAAATTTAGTTCCAGTCCACTTCTTCTACCATGCATCCTTTCACTTGGTTCTTCCTGGCTCCTTACTGGCCTGATGAACAGAAATGTTGATTACAATCAGAAAAGGAAATATAATATACAAACATAATTGTGGAAACAAAAATAAATTACTGATTTATTTGTTGTCTTTTGAGACAGGGTCTCACTCCACAGTTCAGGTTGGCTTTGAACTCAGTGTATAGTCCAGGCTGGCCTCGAACTTGCAGCAATCCTCTTGCCTCAGCCTCCCAAGTGCTGAGATCACAAGCATGAGCCACCACACCTAGCCCCCAAAATTAATGATTTTAAAATATATTTTTCTACATCCAGGTGTGGTGGTGCACACCTGTCACTCCAGCGCTCGGGAGGCTGAGGCACGGGTGGGCGGCTGTGAGCTTGAAACCAGCATGGGCTACACAGTGAGATCAAGGCCAGCCTGTACTACACAGCGAGACCATATATATGATATATGTATAGAATATGTTAATAGATACATACTTTTTTTCCTGCTAAGTGAATTGACAATATGTGGCAAACATGTGAATTGACCAAAAAATTGCTAGCGGTGAAAATGAATTTAGCAAAGTTGTTTTCCTAAGTACAACTTGGACTGAACCCAGAATGGTTAGTTATGGGCCATATGATTCCATCTCCAGGGAATTCGG